AATATTTTGAAATGCAGTTTTTTCCTCAGTAAATCTTCAACATCATGTTTTTAAGATGTTTTTAAAATGCAGACTGCAGTGAAGCAAAATAAAATACTTTTACAATAAAACATAGAAAATGTTACTGCAGTAAAAGTACGTGAGTATAATCAGGAAAATGTACTTACAGTATTAAAGCAGTAAAATATGCCTGTGTCTGTTGTACTATTAATATACTTTTATGTATTAATATACTGATTATCTTCTCCATGAATGACTGACTTGGTTTGTAAAGATTTGTTGCATATTCACAAAGCTTGATGTGTCCAAACCTCAATATTATTAACAAACATACAATTATTATAATCATTCAGAGGAAAAGCAGCAAATCTTTACATGTGAGAAACTGAAACCAACAAATGCTTTTGCATGAAAAACTGACTTACAGCTGCAGCTGCAAACATGTGGCGACAGGTTCAGCTTACAGACAGGAATTTAGTGGGAGTAAAACAAACACAAGGCAAGACAGAAACAACAACTAGGACAGGGAAACGAGGGGAAAGGAAAAGGGCAATAAATTACAAGGTAAACAGAAATGAGGCTGTGAGGAGAGACAGGGAGACAGACTTTGACAAAGCCAGTATCAAAATAGTTAGCAATAAACTTTCTGTCAATCCACTACTTGATGATGGTCGGCTGTTCTGCGCTTCTGGTGGTCTGGAGTTTTCTCTGGATGTTAGCTTCTGCAGAAGGAGGTGAGTGAAGCTTTTACTTCAGAGATACACAAATAAGGTAAGAGCGTCCAGAGTCTTTATTCTGCGTTAGAAAAGAAGACAGAGATGTTGAACAAGAAATAGGAGGCAAGGGGCGGCTTGTAAAACTAGACTTAACAGATAAACCTTCTCCGAGCCAACTGCATGTACTTAATAACTTAGATCCAGACTACAGCAAAGCAGATCGCACTGCTGCCTGAAGCTAAGTAGTAATGGGAAGCTTATATTCTAATGTTCATAATGTTATAAAGGTGTCACATACACTTTAGCCTACAGTAACTGTTATCAGGACAAAGTTGCCCTGCATTTAACAGAATGGCATTTAGCCCAGAAAAAGGACGTGAATTCATAGTTTAGTTTAGGTCGGTCTAGCCAGGGAGGGCAGTCTATGCAATGATGCAGGTGGATCTATGAGAGTTAACACTCATCTTAAAAGGTACAATGTATAAGATATGGCCAGAATTTGATTTTATTTATATTTATAGAATATTTGTTTTTTTTTTAAAAAGTAACTAAAATCATCAGCAGAATCTTAAAGAGGTTATATTGTAGTTTTTCAATGAAATCACTAATAATAAATCAAAGTTTTCCTGCCTTGTTGTCAATGGGCTTTAGCCTCACTTAGAAATGAAGCCCACAGGTTCAAACCCCGGTTGCCCCGGCCTTTCTGTGTGGGGTTTGCATGTTCTCCCCGTGTCAGAGAGGTTTCTCTCTGGGTGCTCTGGCTACGTCCCACCGTGCAAAGACATGCTGCTTAGGTTGATTGGTGACCCTAAATTAGGTGCTAGTGTTCCTGGTTGTTTGTCTATGTGTGGCCCTGCGAAGGCCTATAGAGCAGGCTTTTAATTCTTTATGACCAAAACTCTTGCTCAGCTCAGCAATTTGAATATTACCTGGATAATCATAATTTAATCCAGGCCAACCTCATCCACAGAGTGCTTCTTTTGATTGGTGGACTCTTACGGATTATAGGAATATAAATGATCGAGGAAAGGATCCGTCCGTCCAGCCTAACCACCCTGCTGGGTGACAGGTCTTGATTTTAAGTATAAAATTGGTTATAAAACGAGTAACATTATTTCATTGTTTCAAGTGATATAATATCTCAATTTAACAGCTTTTTATTATGATCTTTTATTTATAGCACACATTTACTCTCAGATGTTAAAAACTCACAGTGAACACTACACTTGGTCAAGACCATTTGGTGTCGCTTGTAACACCCTCAAATAAGCAACAATACAATATTGTAGTGAACCAACATTGACATTTAATTATGTCAAAAAGAAGAACACAGCATCTCCCGTTCGTCTTCCCCTAAAAAAGATGGGGGTCAGGGTTTGAGTTATGTGGGAGTTCAGCTTCCATAAGGAGGTCTGAGCTCCTATGGAAGCAGTAAAATCATGCATCTGTGGGGTCTCTAATTCATTCACCAACATCCATTATTTTGAATCACAATGTATCAATAATGTATTCTTCATTATAATTAGTACCTACTATTATGTACATTAAACAAGAAAAACAGACAGTAAATGAACACACTTTCCTAATGAACTACGCATGACTCACAAGATGGCGCACTTCTCCACCATCAGCCACTATGTTTGCACAAGTTTTGACCGAGCAGGTTGAGACCGCGTCCCATAAACCGCGAAAATAAACTCAGTTGTATTGTAGCCTACTGTATTACTCTGTATTGACTGCAGCTTATTTGTTAGTATTATTGGCTTTTTGATGCATCCTTGCTACTGTGTGCCAACGAAAAGCAGTGCATAAAATAATAACACTTAAATATTACCATAAAGGGTGGAATTGCGGTCTCTCCTTGAGCAATAGTCTTTGATGGCACGGATTGCCTAGTGTGAGTTATTCAATCAATATTATCCTGAAAGTATTTAGTTAAGCAGTTCTTTCTATCTGCTATGATCACTATGAAATGTTGTTTTAACTGTGACCATTCTTATCGTTACAACGGTTAACAATAGATTCTCCTTTCATTTTATCAAATGCTTTAAATTAAGAAATGTAAAACTGTTTATGGTATTTAAGTATTAAGTATTTGAGTTGATATTGTGGAAAGATAATGTGATTAAAACACGCAAAAGACTTTAAAGAAATCACCTCGAGTTAAAATAAAACATCAAGACCCACAGTTGAGGGGAGTGAAACGACACCCCGAAGTGACGTCACAAGTCCGAAACAGAGGACAGATAAAACACCTCGCGCCCCTTTGTTCAGACTCTTGCTCTTCGCTCCTCTCTCCAGACGCCTCTCTTCGCAACCCAGCATCCTGCTCCAAGAAGTCTGGTCCGGAGAATCTCCGCGACTTCTAAGTTTCCTTTGTCTCATAGCAACTTATTTAGCCGTGTTCCCTAGGTTTCGAGAACCCTCTGTGAATTTACCTTTTGTTTTGTCAAAGTCATAGGTCGTTTAATTTACGGCACTTTAATTCTTTTAAAAGCTTTTATTTCGGTTCAAATGAATTTCACTACTCCCAACAACCAGTTGCCTACCTAACTCTAGAGAGACAAGCCCGGGCTAACGGCCCGTTTACTGCAAGGGTTTCACGCAATCACCAACCAGACGAAGGACTCAGGGACATTCTCGTTGGCAAAAGACCAGATCGAGAGGCCATGTGGCGTGCAGAGCCGCTGAGGGCTGTGAACGCAACAACGCCAAGCAGCCTTCGATACCGGATGGTGGGGAATCAACAGGAAGCAAGGCTAAACAAACTACATACAACAGCGATTCAGGCGGTGCCCCAAACGAGTGCTTATTATATGATATTTCAAAATATTATTATTCATAATTTCATTAATATAGTGTAGGATCACTATAACATACATAGTCTGGTCAAGTTAGCAATAATCGTATCCTATCCTTACATAACCTATGCAACTCTTTTTGTTTCACACAAGAAGCAAACACCAGCCTCCTACATGAATGTTCACTTTGATCTGTCCACTGCAACACTTGTACTTTACTGTTACTATATATTAAGTGTTCAAAAATGAAACTACAGGGCTTCCCCCAGTGCGCTGAACAATGACACTAAGGGAGTGCCCAGTGCGTTACAAAGTGATGCCAAGGGGTCTTGACCAACTGTCCATATGTGATGGCTTGGCGTGGAATCTGTGTATCGTCATGTAAACCAACTAAAGCCTTCATTTATTGTTTCCTAACTTACAAAATAACGATGTTGTTTGTACCTGATGTGTTGCAGATGCAGAGGTGTCCTGTGTTTTTATGAAGAGCTGCATCTTACCGTGTAGCTTCCGGGGGCGGCACTGATGCAGTCATCCACTGGACTCTGGTGACAGCAGGAAACTCTCTTGTCCACTCCTACTACCACAACCAAGACCAGCTGGGACACCAGGGCCAGCGCTTCAGAGGCAGGACATCACTGTTCAAGGACCAGATCTCCGGAGGAAACGCCTCGCTCCAGCTGACTGGGGTCCAGGTTCAGGACCAGGGCAGCTACAGGTGCTTCACCAGCACCATGACTAGCAACAAGGAATCATTTATCAACGTACAAGTGGACGGTACGAGAAACACACAGTAAATACACAAAACCATCAACTTGTATTTTCTTCAGGTGCAATTAAAATATACATTTAGCATTTGTGCTGTCAAATTAGTGAATTAAACTTTTTTATTTTTTTGCATAAAATTATTAGTAAATTCATCCGTTCATACAGCATCAAGATCTCTGTTTTTGCAGCTCCGGTCCATAAAGTCGACATGGAGCAGGAAGAAAACAGGATCACCTGCAGCTCAGAGGGGATCTACCCTGAGCCTGAACTCACCTGGTCCACCAGACCTCCGTCCAACGTGACCTTCAAGAACACAACCAGAGTCCAGCAGACTGAACAGCAGCTCTACAACATCAACAGCTCTCTGATACTTTCAGACAGGGTTACTGATCTGGTCTACAGCTGCACCGTCAGCACTCGCAGGAACAGGAGGAGAACCACTTTGAGGGAACTGAGTGAGTATTACGTCTAATCTGTCAACTAAACCAATAAACCAGGTTGGTGTCTGCTCTGATTTAAAAGATTCCTGCAACTACACAACAACAAACTACTGCTAGAACCTTTTTTACCTTTTCACTAGTGGTTTAGATACTGCAAACTAATTTAGTAAACAAACACATCAAACCCTTTATTATCTGACAGTGTCTCAGTATGTGTTTCTATTAATTGATTCACAGGCGTTTGATTGTATTTGTTTTGTGTTGTATATTTTCAGCTTCTCTCGATGGTTCCAGCTCTGACACAACAATCCCCTGCTCTGCCTCAAACACTTCCCTTCTGAACTTCAGCCTCGTCTGGAGATTCAACCACAGTCGGATCATCCTGAACCGGACCAGGACCAGCGTCCCCTACACAGTCTCAGAGGAGTGGAGGCAGCAGGTGAAGGGTGTGTCTGAGTCAGGCAGCCTCACACTACAAGACTTGTCTTTGAAACAGGAGGGGATATACACCTGTGAACTCAGCGATGACGAGGAGACAAACATAACCAACACCCTGCTGAGGATAGAGGAAGGTAAGTTTAGCAGCATAAAATCTCAGATTTAATAGTTAGGCAGGATTTCAATCAACGGTCAAAGAATCAGTTAAAGAACCCTGTTTTTGTTTCACATGGAGACACATGCTTCTATACATACTACAGTCTGGGTCATACACAGATGAAAACAAAATTGTGACCACCTGCCGGCAGTAGAGGAGCTCCTTTGTTTATTTTTTTGGCTGAACAGCATGAAAAAGTCAAAAGTGGGACAGGATGGGAAATACAGTACAGACATACATAGAGAGCACAAAACAAGCGTTAAATGTCCTTAGTTTTCGTCTTTGCCAATTTTTTATATAGGACCTATATTTCGGGTGGATATGAAGCCGGGTGGAACTGACGTTGCGGGGCAGTTGGTCTGGCCGGTGTCCGGACAGACGATAGGCACCTGTTGGTGAGCCGCGGGTGTGTTATGTTTTATCCTCCGCATGAAGAGCTGGCACGCTGTATGTCAAGTGGCTGTGCAGCCACGATGTCAAGAAGTCAGATTTAAATCAGAATTGGTGTCTTGCTTTATTCGTCAGGAGAGTCTGGGTGAGAAGCAGGTGTGGCATTAGGGGTAACTTAGTCGGTGAGACCCAAGTAGGGATCGGCTACGTAGCTGGTGGGGTTTGAACATGTTTTCTAATACAATCGTACAGAATAATTTAACAAACAACGATAGAGTTTTGTTTAGTTCGGGTTTCAGGTAGTGAGTTGCTGCCTTGGTGGTTTTCTTTTCCTTGTTTTGTTTTGTTCTGTTTAGATGGTCTGGCTTAGAGCTCATCATACCTGTGTGATGAACTTGCCCCTAGTACATTGACCATGAGCTCCCCTTGCGCTGGGTTAACGTGTCTGCTGGTCATTGACTGCATGTCAGCTAGAGACTGATGTAATGAACTTCTTGGGACCACTGGCTAGTAGAATTAGGGTAGTTTAGCTCTTAGGGTTTACTGTATGTAGGTTAGAAATTATACTGTAGATTGAATGTGTTTTATTTATTTGTAGTATTTATTTAGACAATGTGTTAGTACTTCAAATATATATTTGCTGAGTGTTTGGGCTCATATTTACAAGCTTCTGAACTGAACTGAGCTTGGTATCGTGCAGCGACAAACACTAAAACTAACGATGAAGCTTATAAAAGTTAAATGAAAACTTAGCATTTTCAAAAAACTAAAAGTAACGTTAAAAACTAATTAATACTAAACTGAAATTGAAAACAAAAAGTCAAAACAAAATAAAAATAAAAAGCTAATGAAAAATCCAAAAAAACTATAATAACCTTGATCAATCTATCTCTATCAACAGGCTATGTACCACAGTACTTTAAAGCAGCTGTAATTAAACCTCTTCTGAAAAAGCCCAAACTTGATCCTGATGTTTTAGCCAACTATAGACCTATATCTAACCTTCCATTTCTCTCTAAGGTTCTGGAGAAAGCAGTTGCTAAACAGCTGTGTGACTTTCTACAGAGCAGTAGCACCTCTGTGACACATTATCTAAAGATATAGTTTCCCTTGATGGCATCGCCTTGGCCTCCAGCAGGGGAATCTGGAGTTACCTTTGATCAGGACATGTCGTTTAAGTCTCACATTAAGCAAATTTCAAGGACCGCCTTTTTCCACCTACGTATTATTGCGAAAATCAGGAACATCCTGTCTAAAAATGATGCAGAAAAACTAGTCCATGCATTTGTTACTTCTAGGCTGGATTACTGCAATTCCAGATGGCCTGTAAAGTAGAACAAATTGGACCCTGAGTGATCGGAGTGAGGAAACTTTGTGGATTCATACATTTGTATAAATGAAAATATAACTGCTCTGTGAGATGGACACAGACAAGGTCCAAACCTTTCTAGAAGTTCTTCAAACAAACATTAAAGGCATGTTGCCCACCTGGCAATATGAACGTTATTAATACACTGCAACCCAGGAATTATCAGTCAGTCCACTCGTGGAAGTTTGGTTAGTAGAAAGTTCAATAAACTGAATCTTTTTCTGTTTCAGGGAGTCAAACTGGTGTCACACGTGTTATTGTAGGTTTGGTGGTTGGAGCCATTTTTGTTGTAGTTCTAGCAGGACTTGGTGTACGGTACTACAAAAGGTAAGAAAACACATTCTGCCGTCACCTGCTAATTATTGATTATGTAAGTTGTTTATAGTGATGATGATGATGATGGACAGAGATAGGAAGAAGACCGGATATGGAACTATAAAACCTTCATCTGTACTGAGTACAGAAAAGTTCTTTCACAATTACATTCAAATCATTTTGCACTACATGACAAACTCATTAATCAATAATTACTGAAACAATCTTTCAAGTTTAAAAGAACTGCTGTCTCTGCTAAAATATTGTCCTAAGTAAGACACAAGCAGAGTGTGACATCATGTACAACTAATAGAAATAGATCAATTCTGGCTCAGTAGTCTGAAGAAAAACAGAAAATCTTGTCTTGAGTTTCACTTTGATGTGTTTCACTAATGAATTCTGTTCATTTGTTTGCAGGAAGAGCCACTCGAAGGAATGTGAGACCAGAGACAAAGTCTGGAAGCAAACGTTTGACTCCGCAATGAACCCCTGAGTAACTGCAAGATGCAACAACCAGCTGCTGCAGTGAGATGAAGTCACACTGTGCTGCTCTGAAGTTTCACTGCATTAAACTAATGTGAGCAAAACTTCCATTGAGGAATCCATGTGAGATGGACAAGACTAAAAAAGACTAAAAGTAGCTGCTAGAGTGAAGACAAACTCAGTCCAAACACTGAGTCCACTAAATGGATGATCATGAACTTTATTCAGATATTAAATCAGCTAATAACTTTGAGCTGCTACAGTCTGTTTGTAATCCTGTGTTACTTTCAGTAACAGTTCCAGCTCATTGTTGGTCCGTGCAAACAATATCTGGTGTGATTCTTTGTCTGTAGTATTTCATTCTTTCCCCAAATCTTCTGTGGAATAGACCATCTTGCTTTTTGTTTACACCGGCACATGCATGCCCAGTGTACGTGAACGGCCACTTAATGTACGTTTTCAGTCGTTTTAATATAGTGATGGGAAAAGTGAGTCTTTTTGCTGAATCGGATCTTCAAATCTCGTTCAGCAAAATTAACTAATGTTTTTTTGAGTCATTTCGTTCATTTGAACCAGGCTGGTTTTTGCAGCTCTGCAGCCCTCTAGTGGGCGATTAAAAAACAGCGCAGTTCTCAAACACAGAAGGCTGCCTGGCTTGCTTTAATTGACAAAGTATAATGCTCAAATTCACCTCTTGATCTTTCTTTATCATGGTTCTATAAAGCCCCATGGAGCCACAACCAAATTCAAACCATGTAAAAACCACAGAAATATGTTGTCAATAATCAATCGCCACTACTAACGGCTAAATCCGTCCGCCGAGCTGTCACGTGACAAATGAACGACTCAAACAGACCCACAGAAGAGAGTCGTGAACTAACAATACTGTTTCCTGTGCTGCCGGAGCCCGGGCAGCTGCCGTGTGATGCGTGAACGTGAGAGTCCAAGACTATTCACTATTCTAACAAATTAGTCATTGAGACTACTCGTTCCTCCTGAGTCATAAACAAGATTAGGCCAAATGAACAAGCTACTCACTGAACGACACAACGGAGATACGCACTCAGATACGCAGCTAAAATGCTGGTGTGGACGGGGATCTTATTCGTATATATTTAAACCATATATTACCATTTGTATTCATAATAGTTTGTTTAGTTTTGTTTACAATCTTTGTTCAGCTGTAGATCTGTAAAATGTTCTGTGTGGAAGAGCAACTTAAATTCCTTGTATGTGTTCATTAGTTTGCACAACTGTACCAAATAAAGTAGCTGCTGATTAATTACTGTAAGTGAATACAAATACAGTATAAAGCTGTGTGTGTTGAGATGTTTGAGGATCATGAGTGGATAAAATTTTTACCACGTCATCATTTTCTTCAGACTTTATGTGACTTTTGATATTTCACCTGTGAGGCTGGAGTCATGTTTTCAGAATCAGAATCAGCTTCAGTGGCCAGGTGTGTGTTTACATATCACTCCGGTCTCATATTGTTCTGGATGTACACAGAACAAGCATAAACAAAAACATTTGTAGACAGCAAGACAAGAGCGCAAAGGTGACGATGCTGGAGGAAAAAAAACTGCACTACAGCTACAATTGCTTCTACTAGAACTAAAGTACATTTTGTGTTGTCTGAAGTAATTAAACATGTTTTCTATTTGACTTCATGGAGTTCTGCTGTTTGTTAAGAGACACAGTAAAATAGATGATCTGTGTTTTCAGTTTCTGTCCTGCAGAGGGCGCTGCAACACCATCAGTGCTCTTTCATTCTCTTGGGGAAAGAAGTACTCATATACCATCAATCCCACTCTGCAAATACACATAAAAGTATAAGAACAAACATTTAGTCACAGTATCAAAAGTAAAAGTACTGGTTGGGCCTCTGAGAGCGTTACATCGATGCATTGACACACAGCTGGTTGAGGTGGAGCTCATGTTTACAACATTATACACTGTTGGGTACTTTACAACAAAATGTCATATTTTATAATTTAATCATATATTTTGTGTACAATTATAACCTGCAAAGTAACGAGTAAGTAAAGCTGTGCTACAGAATCAGGTCTGTGCAGAAACAGGTGATTCTATACTCTGTTATTACACAGCTGTCTGATTGAGGAAGGCAGTAAAGCAAACTGTCAGACAGTAAACCCATTAACAAGGTGCTTTCCCAGCAGAACTGCTGAAACCAGCTGCAACATAATAAAGCCTCAAGCACCACTCAGTGAAACACAGACGCTGTAACAGGAAGTCATATAAAGGTAAAAGAATAAACACAGTAAAAGTAGTCAGTGAGGCCTCGTCAGTTCAAGTCGGTTATTTTACCACGAATCACATCAATCATGTCACGAATTGACAGACTATTGGACGGACCAGCCTTGTGTGTGGACACCGTGGGCTGAACTCTTTTAACACCACAGTGGTCATCTCAGCACGATTCTTGTGATGGACTGCAGAACAGAACAGCACGGACCAACCAAACGTGTCAATTTAAAAACAGGCCGTTGCCAAATCACCCATAAAGAAATGTGTGGTATTGGATGTAATCTATAATGTGACATGTACAATCATTTGAAAAATGGACGATCATTCTCTCTCTCTCTTTTTTTACTGTCCCTATTTCATAAATTGTCTAAACTTTTCCAGTCCACTTTCCACTTTTGTTCACTGTACTGTCGGTTTTCTCGTTCTGTTTTGGCTTGATACAGAATTCAGCATTCTTCAGTCCTCTTTAGAAGACGATGATCCTGTGAGCTTGTTGAGCTCTAAGTGATCTGTTCTTGCTTGTAAACATGTTGTTGTGTCTGTTGTGCATCAGCAGTTATCCAGTGATGACTGCACTGTGTTCATCCTGAGCTCCAGCCTACTTCATTTTATCTCTTTGGCTTCGGTGTCATGTTCCAGCAGCACTCAACCTCAGTATAGTCTTCATCCTGTCCAGGACTGGATCAGCCTGAATGAAGTCCAGGACTTGCCTCAGTTAAAGAAGATATAATGTGTTAGTTTGTTCTGATGGCGTGTTAAAAAGGTATTTTATCTAGTCAAATGTTTTGTTCTCAGTCTTTCCTTTCCCTCAATTCTAGTTCATATATTAATCTGCCCTAAATGGTTTCATCTCTTTCTGCATGCTCTTCTGCATCTTTCCTTTTCTTTCTCTCCAAACAGGAAACCCATTTAAACCCACTTATCACATAGATGTTTTAGTGTTTTTCAGTCATAGATTTCACAACTGGCGAAAGGATTTTAGGAGCTGTCTCCCACTCTGTTTACTCACAGTTTATCCAACACATGCTCATTTAATCTAGTTTTTTGTTTCTCTGTGTATCAAACTTTCCCTCATCCTTATTGTAAGACATTTGTTTGGTGCTCTGCATTGCCTTTCCCTACTTTCTGATCCTTTCTTCCACATGGACAACGCTTTCAAATGCTTATATTCTTAGTTTAAATTGATGTTACATGCATCAGCTGTGTGAGATCAGCAGGTAAAACCAAAAGAGCACTCTAAGCTTTTAATTGGTGTTTGCTGGGAATCCAGGACCATATACAGCCTAGGCCTAATGTATTTTTTATTTCAGATATACTCACCACTGAAGGACAACGGAGGTCCAACTCTGATAGAGATGATAGTGGAAAAGATCCGGAGCGCTGTCGGTCTTTAAATCAGGGAGGAGGAGGCTGAAACACTTTAATCCAGTGTTATCAGCCGCCTCAGGTCCGAATTCTGCCAAACCATCCTACTTCTGACACCAAATAAAATAAAAACGTTTCATTTAGTGAGTCTTCTGAAATAAAGAAGTTAATCCAGACGGTTGTATTCTTTGCAAAAGATCAGACAAAAAGAGTGCAAACAGTCTGCAGAGTGGGAGACAAAGAGCCAGGAAGAAAGAGGTAACTTTATACTCTAATGTTATTACGCAGATGTGTTAGGGAGGAAGAGAGTAGAAACCAACTGAAAGCCTATCAAAGACAATCAGATAAGAAACCCATTAAGGAGCTACTTTCCACTGGGGAAACCAGCTGCAACTCTACTGAAGCATTGCGCACCACACAGTGAAACACAGGCCAGTGTAGGCTAAGGTGTATGAAGGCAAAACCGTGACGACATTTACATTTATTTATTATTATTATTAATCTGTGAAGAATCAGAATCAGAAACAGCTTTATTGCTGAGTAGTTTTTTAAACTTTATACTAAATAATGTGCTTTGGTGACTTTGTGCGTGACAATAGACATAATAAACATATAAATATAAAAATGAGAAAATGTACATAGAATAAGCTAAAGTTGAAGTCTAGAAGAAGACAAATAAACTAAAATAAAGATGATGTAGGGTACAATATGTCATTTAGTTATTTAGTGAAATGTCGGAATTGAAATGTGCAAAAGATGGAAAGAGACTGTTTAGAATAGAACAGAATAGAATAGAATAGAATATACTTTATTGTCCCCTAGGGGAAATAGGGGAAAAGTCATGGACTCAAGAGTGCGTAGTGCATAGTAGTAGCTGCCCTTACAGACAATAAATACACGTAAAATACATATAACAGCTGAAGACGTACATGTAGGCTACATACACTCATGACACATCCAATAAAAGATTAAAACAAAAAATTTAAAAGTGGTATGTCATGGGCTACTTGTGTCTTTAGTATAAAGATCTGTTGTTTCACATTATATTTGATGTCTGATGGCTGTGGATGTGTCTATAATAAAGTGCTGCTGACAGTCTTTCTGCCTTTTCTTTCTCTGATGCTCAAAAGCAAGAAAACACAAAGCAAAACAGACACAGAGCAACTAGGACAACATGTATAAACTCCTGGGAATATAATTTATTTAAAAAACGTCATATGTGTTGTTTGAAAAAATGTGTAAAGTAATTAAAGGTGTCAGATAAACGGAGTGAAGTAAAAAAGTAAAAGCAAGTGGCATGAAGAGAAAAGACTTTCCTACGATACAATCATCCTGCTTTGTTTCAGTATTTTCAGCTTAGAGCTCAAACATTTTTTTCCTGAGACTTCTGGAGGATGCTTATTAGAGGGGGTGGATCACATCACGTGATCAGTTTCTGTTTTAATGTAAAGGAACAGATTGCTTCAGGGGAGGATGGGGGACGGCTGTGCAGCGTGTCAGACGGTCTGGAGTTTTCTCTGGATGTTTTCTCCTGCAGAAGGAGGTGAGCTACCACCTCCCTACTTTCTCTTGTTCAGTGAGAAACGTGAGCTCTAGTTTGTCCTGCCAGCTAGGATTGGAGATCTATGAGATATTCTGGTTCTGAACTGCAGTGGGAGGCATGTACATGTAAGAATCTGTACATTCTTGATTAAAAACCATGTGAAATATCTTTTCTCTTTCGTCTCCTCAATTCGTGTGTGTTTCCAAAACGTCTCTGGTGAATCTCGCCGACTCGACTCGTAAGCATCGGAATGCACAGATTAAATATCAATGTCTGGAGGTTATAACGTTTTGTAGCCTGCAGCAGCTGTTATCAGGGCCCAATTGAAAAAGCATTTTTAAATCAGAAGACCATATTCAGGGTGAATTTTAGCAACAAAATGTTAAAAAAATAAAAATAATAAAATTAGTTCAATAATAGGCTTACAAAATTTGTATTATGTAGTACTTGAAATGTTCAGACTTTACAGTGATAAAGTAGACATGACTTCTTAGGCCTTTCGGTAAAGTAAAAAAAAGATTTTGTCCCCATAAAATAGGCCTATTTCCCCAAACAGCTGTCAATGCCGAACTAAGTTGGGCAGTTGCGTTGGGGTGTGTCCAATTCCAATTCTGCTGGTTTAATGGCGGAAAAAATGGTCAGTGCGCCAGGCGCTTGGTTTAAAAGGGTTGTACTTAGTCTGTGAATTAGTCATGGGTGTGTTTTGGGAGTAACATGCAATACAACGGTCAGTGTCATCTAATGGCGCATTAATAAAACCATCAATTGGCTGACTGAATTGCAGACTCACAGCAGAGAGGAGGAGATGGACATAAGTGTAGCCGTAATATAAAAAGCCGTCTCTGATCATGAAGCCTAATGTTCCTCTGTGGTTTATGACCTCTGAACTTAGAGTGCATGGTAACAGACTGATGCTGTCTCCT